CCGTTATATTCTAATTAATCAATCAATCTGTACAAGCAGTGTTTGGGCCATATGCAGATCAGGAACCAGACACTGCGTTACAACCAGCTGGCTGCCGTGCACGTGGGTTTACACCTGCGGAGAAAACAGCTGGAGACGAGTCTTGTAGCCTGGACTGGAGGAAGCTGAACAGAAGGTTTTCCCAAGCAGGAACGGTGTCGTGTCCCTAAAGGTTGGACATCCTCAGAGTGATACGAGCAGGAGCCACAGCCAACCAGAGGAAAAGACCAAACACGGACGCCCAGCCCAGAGGCTGTGTGGAGGGGACACCCCCCCGCATTCTGGGTTTCACACCTGTTCTCAGAAATTGGCTGGTCAACCGCGGCCAAACTTGAGCCATCCCGTTTAGATGAGGATCAAAGTTCAGGACACAGAGAGGAGGAGGCTAGACAGACAGAAGCTTAAATCCAGAACCAGGTTTAAAGGGAGATTTGGAGTCCTTGGCTGAGAACCAACAGGCAAAATCCAGATAAAATCTTCTCTGTAAATCTTATATATTATCTAAAAATAAAGACTTGATTCTTTAGCACAAACTAAGAGGAGCTGTCTCAGACATGTCCTGTGGCTGCTGTGGCTGTCCCTGGTGGAGCTGCAGTGGTTGGAGTCTGGTGGAGACTGGGTCCGAAGGTGGACTGGGATGGACTGGAACTGGACAGGACAACACACATATTTCACTCGGCCGGAGGACTAGTCGTCTTCATTGTCCCCCTCCTCCTTGCCTTCGTCGTTCACGTCTCGCTTCCTCTTCTGTCCCTGGACGCCCGCCTGATCCTCTGCACACAGGAAGCACACAGACCAATCAGAGGAGAGCGACAGGATCCTGACCAATAGAGTGAGCTGACAAAAATGTTTAAACTGGGTCTGATGAAGACACCTCAGCTTCATATTACAAAGAAAACAGCTCGTTTTGTGATTTTGAAAACAAGCTGTCACATGACCCAGACCCACAGTGACAGTGAACACTGCCTCATTCACCTTCCTCCTCCTCCTCCTCCTCCTCCGCATACTCTTCCTCATCATCTTCCTCCTCCTGACAGAAGAAGAGAAAAGACAGTTTAGCTCTAGTTCCTCTACAGCAATTTCAAAATAAAAGACGGGCAGCTTGTTTCTGACTGGGCGACAGTGACAAAGCACTGCCGCTACTGGTCGGGTCCATGCCACCGTGAGCTCTGACAGCTCAATCTGAGGCGGGGTGAACATCAAGCTGTTCACACAGACA